TGGGCGTAATCGGACCACTGCCACGCCCACAAAACGCCATTAATCAAAAACAAATAACTTGCCATAACTAAGCTCCGCAATAAGATACAAGACTGTTATTTGGTACACAGGATCACATTAGGAAGGGGCATCTGCAGTTAACATTATTTTTATGTGGGCGTGGTCCCGCCCGTAATAAGTTTAATGTGCATATCTCCTATATCGCTGAAGCTATAATAACAAAATTCACTAGAACCAAATGTTTTTAGCACTTCTATTGACGGTGTGAAAATAGTTGAAATCGGGTAGCAACTCCGCCCACTCCCCATATAACGGTACTGTTAAAAACTACTAAAAGCGCGATAAATCAAGCACTAAACACGCCAGAGACATTAAATTTTATCTCTGAGATGGTATAAATTGGGTTTATAGGAACCGCGTTCAAAATAACTCAGTGGGCGTGGCACAGCCCACTTTTAGGTGAAAACCCATATCTTGAGATCTGCTCAACCGATTTCAACCGCATTCGGTGTATAACGTTCTTTTCATGTTTCTATGTCATAGTACGAAAATGGGCGAAATCGGACTACAACCACGCTTACTTCCCATGTAACACCATTTTCAATTCCATCTGATTCTTTCACTTTCCACTATGCAAATCAGGTAACAATGATTATATCGGGGTAAAACTTTGCGGGAATAATGCAATTAAAGTATGGCACCTTGCGGCCAAAAATCGAACCAAAACTGTTCAAACCCCTAAGTACTAAATATGTGGACCCCAGTGCCTATAGTTGACCTTCTACCGAAAATATTAGTCAACCCACAAAGAAATCTCAAACGAGTATACCATTTGACTTTGCGAGAGGATAAAATGTTCGGTTACATCCGAACTTAGCAATTCCTTACTTGTTTTTGCTTGGTTTTGATCAGTCAGTTTAAATGACAGCTGTGTGCTAAAGTGGTCGGATATCAGCGGTTTCGACAACTATTTTTTTAACACCAAAGAAATTATTTATTGAATCTGCTTACATAAAATAAGCCTAACGATAAGTTTTTCAATCTGAATAACTAACGAATTGTGGGTTTAGTCCATTATTACAAGTAGTAATGGATGATAGATAGAATGTTGCTCATCAAAAGACTAACAAATCATTTCTCTGAAAACGTGTTCGGCTAGTTGGGCAGGATAAAATTTTCGTTAGGAGGTTAGGATGATTTTGAAGTTTAAACAGGTATTGTATTTTGCCAAGTATTTGGTACTTCTGTGTTTACCATTGGTATTTCAAGATCTCTATGTATATTCTCATTGCGCATTTACCTCGGTGCACCTGTTACGTTTCGTAGCTTTTTTGTATTTAATGGATACTAGTTGCGCAGGCAGATCCCCATAATTGTAATCCATACATTCATGTTGGCTTTATGACTGAATTGTATATAAGGGTTTTATGGTCCTAGCATAGCTTTGAATTTTTACCCAGTAACCAATTTAGGGTGGCGGTTTACTTCTGAGGTGCTGTCTTTTTGTAGAAATGTATCTCTTCCAGGTCAAACGCCTATCTAGGTGAATGTCAAGGTATTTAGCTTCGCTTGGTTGAGGGATCATTAAGTTGTTTAATTTCAGTGTTAAGCATGTTTCTTTCTTTAGAGTGAATGTGACATGTTTACACTTTTGCTCGTTCACTTTAATGTGCCAGTTTGACAGCCAAATTCCAATGAGTTTTAAGTGACTTTTTAATGTGTTTGTGGTTTTGATTGGGAACTTGCTTCCACATAAAATAGCGGTGTCGTCAGCGAATTTTAGTACTTTCGCAGTCGTTGGAATGTCTGCGGTATATAAGACATACAGACATCCCAAAACTCCAGCGATAATTGGATACTCCTCTGAGATAAATTTCTTTACTTTAACTGTAAACCGCCCTTAATAATATGAACAGATGATGGAAGCCTTTTTAGCATAGTAATTTTAATTTTATGTATGAGTCCATCATGCCATACTTTATCAAATACTTGAGCCACGTCAAGAAAGCAAAAAACTTTCAACTCAAATGCCCTCCGGATCTCACTGGTAGTGCGATGGACTTGTTCAATAGTATCATGTTTTTCGCGAAAGCTTGGAAAGAACGGGCAACAAGCTAACTGGTCGATATGAGACTGCAGCGTTGCGCCTTTTCCCCTTCTTGTTTGGCTATCAAGATAATATACCCAAACTTTAAGATTTCATTAGAAGGTTGAGACAGGAAATTTAAAGCAATATTTAGTAACTCTATTAGCATTTGCGCTGTTATATGGTCGTAACCAGGCTACTTTTTTTATTCAACATTTTTATCCTCTCGCAACATGCTGCTAAAGAGTATAATAGTTTTGTTCAATTAAGGGTTGTTTGTATCACCTAAAACTAATCGAGCTTGATATAGCGTAATCTACAAGTTTAAACCAAACCAAACCTGTTGAAGCCCCTAGGTACTGAATATGTGGAAACCAGTGCCTATAGTAGATTTTTTACCGAAAATATCGGTCAATGTGTAAGATATATTATAATTGAAATTCACATAATAAATGAAACTTTCAATAATATTTTGTTTTTGTGTCAAAAATGGGTTGAATCGGAGCAATAATTCGTTTAATATAAAATTTTGCTAACACCTGAAGTAATTTCCTGGGCGTTGATCCCTGCAAGTTACGAGAGTATAAAATGTTCGGTTACACACGAACTTAGGACTTCCTTACTTGTTGTTATAACTTTTATCTCAGGTGAAGTTGTACACACTTTGGAATATTTCTCAGTAAATTGTGAGGCAATGATGGAATCGAGAAATTAATGATTGTCATATTTAGTTGAAATACTTCGCAAAGATGATCTGCATGATCAGTTAAACTTCTTTTCTTCGGAAGAATTCCACTGGTTATTTCAAGTTTGTCTCGGCCTTCCCTAGTGAGTTTCTTTGAGAAAAGTTCGGCGTCAAAGCAATAATAAAGTGCGCTTCTTCTTCACCTTTTAAAGCTTTCCTCAATTATTTCTCAGCAGCATTTAGTTTTTATTTAGATGATGGGGATCGATTACTCTGCTATTTCCGGCGCAGTCTTCGTTTTTTGATTACAAGGCGTACAATTAAGCTGCTAGTGGTTCGTATTGTACTTCAAAGACTGTCTCTTGGTTTTGATGTTGCTACAATAGCCGCTGTTGAGAGCAAACAGTTGAATAAATTAATATTGTCCTCTATATCCATTTCACATACTACTTCAGTTTCCTTTTGCATATGGGTGCTAACATATTTCTGATAGGCGAAATAGTTTCTCAACAGTATTTGGTTGTTCAAATAATTTAATCATGACTGGCGAATGATCGGAGGACAATTCGGAACCGGCTACTGCATTTATAAGGTTTCTATCAATGTTTTTGGTGATTGCCAAATCGAACAGGTCAGGTATTTTATTTGGATCAGTTTATCAAATATGTAGGTTGCCTCGGTGTAGCAAACTCAAGATGAGTTTGTCTACATGTAATTGTGTTATATAATTGGCTACCTTTTGAGTTAATAAGGCGAGAACCCGAATACTAAACATACTTTTTAGTATTGTCATCGCCACCTGCAATAAGTCTTTTCCCTAAATAACTAAAACAATCTTTAAATTGCTTGTCCGTTATAGAGAAGCGTAGTGGGCAATAAACGGCAGAAATTACAAATATGTTTTGTCGATTTTTGTCCTGTAGACCTTATATCCAGCAATTTTGTTTTTAATGCATGAAGAATGTTGGAATGTTTGAAGAAGATTTTTGCGCAGTTTCTTTTGTTAGAGGTGCTGGAACCAAATTAGCCATCTGCGGGCGTTTAAATTATATACCCTGATTTAGTTAAGCTTAGAGTTCTTTATAAACCTCGATAGCTTACTACATTTTTTAGCAATTAAATCTTCCTTTTGCCGATTGCATTTAGATGAGTGATGTTTAAATGAGTTACATCACTCATCTAAATGCAACTACGCACACAATACGAAGCATACAGTAAGATTTTGTGTGGCCGAATTTTTTTCAATTCAAACAATATAATTATAAATAATATTAATCACGGATCTCTCACCAAAACCCTGATCTTCTGAAGCTTCTTTTACTTCTTCCGAACCATCTGTAGTTTCAATGCTCTTCAAAACGGGTATATATTCCCCGCTTTAAAGGAACAATGCGGAAGTTGTTAGTTTCTATTATGTGCACTAAGCTTTTTATTAATTCATTAAAACTCCGTTCACATAGGCAGATTGGAGGCGGATTGGCAGTTCTTACTAGTATGCTTCCTCTCTCAGTCAAGCTTTTGGCCATCTGATCCTCGTCGCTAAGTGCCGCAAAGCTATTTCCAACTAGTGAGGTTTTAGCTTTTTGAGTAGCACTATTGGAGTTTCTCTCTTTGCGTTGCTTGTATTCTTAAGAGGGCTCAACTTTCGTTTAATTGCGACATACCGGTCAATACCTGTCTGCACTGCGGTTTTGTTTTTAGTGCTTGCTTTCATTCCGTTGGAGTCAAGGTTCTTGCGATCTCCTTCGGGCTGGATGCGAAGGTGGAGGAACCAACCGTGAAGTATGCGTTGAGCTCGCTGATTGATTGAATTGAACGTTTCTCTTTGAAGTGAGCGCTGAGCATTCATCTCATTTGTTAAGCACAGTAACTTGTTTATTATTTATTATTTTATTAATTTATTATAAACGTATATATATATATATAGGTATTTTTTAACGTTATGCATCCTTTCGCCAGAAACTTTACTTTTCCCATAAAAGTGGACGATTCTACTTCACAACTGATTGGAAACTTTAGTTTGCTAAAGGATTACTATGAAAAAAAATTATTTATTCATACCTTTAGGCGCAACTTTAGATCAGTTCTGTTGTCTGTTATCTTTTGTGGCGCCAAAAAAGTCTCCAAACAGCTGATAGTTTTCTCCTACGTGACCAACAAAAGGTCATACCAGCGAAGCAAGAATTATAAAAAACAAGATTACGCCAGCCGCCATCTTCTGACGTAATTCTTGTGAGTTGAGAAGAAGAAGCATAGAACAAAAAGTAATTGTAAACAATAACATAAACCCTTTTGTTAATTCGTGAAATAGACTTACAAGTAATTTATTAGTTTATAGTAAAAAATGTTCATGAAATTAATACAATAATGTTGGGTGAAATATTAGGGGTATTTCATCTAATGGTTGGTTAGTTTAGCAGACTCTATGCCCAATATGTCGGTCAGTGTGTAAATTATCTTCACAAAATTGCGTGAAAGCATCTCTAGGATACTTGGGTAACGCCACACGTTAATGCAATCGGTAATATGTGTAATGTTTTATGAAATTAAGTGAACAATTCTTCTTCAATATAAAGTGGTTTAGGGTTGAATATGATCTCCGATCCTCTGGTTAATGTTTTCCTCATATACCACATATGACATAAATTTAGCCCGTTAAGTTGAGTTCACATATGTAATAAAACTAATAAAATTTGCGACTTAAAATATATAAGTATATACATACTATGTTATAATATTAAGATAACAAATTTGATTGTAATCCATTCGATTTCTTTAAATAATACATGTTGAATTCTAACTCAACATTTTTCCTATAAAGTTTTGCAAAAACCTGAAAATATTTCCCCGCCCTTAAATTTACAAAAATTACGAGAGTATAAAATCTTCGGTTACATCCGAACTTAGCTCTTCCTTACTTGTTTAATATAAAGTTTTGACAAACCCGTCTTTGAGCCATGTAAATTGCGAGAGTATAAAATGTTCGATTACATCCGAACTTAGTCCATTCATATTTGTTTTTAATATGGTTTAGTAACAACATGTCGAAAAGAAAACAATATATATGTAAGTAATACTAAAATAAGAGATAAAAAAAGGGTAGGGAGATGTTTCAATTCAGATTATAACACATACTGTCCGGGTGGAATAAAACATACATAATTGAACACGATAAACATGAAATTGTATGCTTTCCTTCAATAGTTTGCATATACACAAGTAAGTTGCTTATGAATAACAACCACCATTAAATTGTTTACACAGTTTCTTATATGTTTTCATTGTTTTATTTTAAAACTTTAATTTTCAAAGGAAGATTAATTTTAAGCGCAAAGTACTAAATACTATTGTTGTGAATAGTCAACTTTGTTTACATGAATTTTTACAGTAATACATTTGCGGGGTACTATGGAAAACCATAAATAAATGTATTTCTTTCTTTTCATATGTGCATACATACCATATTTATATGGTATACTTACATATATTATATATCCAGTTTCAGGTTTTGGCTTATTCGAATATAAAGGTCAATATTATATTCTAGCAAAGGCTCAATGAATCACACATATACTGTAAGATATTAACTCTACATACTCAGTTTAAGTAGATAACCAATTCAATATACCTTCATTAAATGAGATATAAACAAATTATTTTCTTGCATACCTAATCTGTTACAAAATCTAGCCATTTTCTGCAGCTAACAATAATATGTAAAAATACGTACACGATTAGGTGTATATTATACTCTTGGTAAATATAATGTGTAAAAATAATAAGAAGTCTCCGCTTAAAAATAAGTACTATTATATAATATATGAGCGTTGCAAATTTCAAATAATATGCTTATAACTTTTTTAAAACAATTAATTACATTTCTATAACGGGCCGGTTTTGTTTTCTATAAAGGCACTTACAAAAACGAACTTTTTGTAATATCACAGCGGGGTTATCTACTAAATTTATTTATAATTATATTTATATAGGCAAGCAATGGTATGATATATGCTTCTCTGCATATTATCATTAAAAATATCTTTTTAATAACAAATTTAGTTTTGATTTTTTCATTCATCGGTATAATATACTTTGCACATTATTTCAATTGCCTTTTCCTGTATTTAAACTAGTCTTAACATGTATACTAACTTTTTAAATTTCACTTATTTTATTTGACACAGCTCAACTTGACCGTATTGACTGTTAGTTTTACACTGCACTTTATCTATGTACATATATAAACTATAAGCGTTGCAAAACTCATGACGTCTTTGATGCACCCTCAATTACTAATGAAGAAGTTTGATGAACACGTCATCCAGCTCATCGATTACATTTAAACCTGAAATACAGCGTTTTCAAGATATATACTTACATGGAAAAATACATGCAAGTATGTTTGTACCCATGTGCAAACTAAACACCATAATAAATATTTGAAAAGAGACGCATCGTACTTCCTAGTGATTGCAGTTTTGTGAATAAATTTTCGAACGAAGTTCAAATCGAGCTTACTAGACTAGTAGTTTTAAGAAGTTCATCCTCTTGAAATATATGATGAATAATAATTCTGTTTTTACTACCCACAAAAGGTATTTACACAATTATGTTTATATCAAGTATTACGTCATAAATATATGCGTCAACGGTTACGTACATTTATTGCACATAATAAAAAAATCATATGACGTCTCAATTCGGTGCATGCGCAAAGTAAGCGAGAAGTTTTCAATGATGCCTTTTGACAAATTACATATTGTGTATGTTTAAATAAATGTTTATCTGTTTTTGATACAAAATGTAACTGTGTTGGTGAACACAAATAATCGTAAACAGTTCTTAATCTACGGATTTGTCAATTAGGATAAATAACACAAAATATCATAAAATCACGCTTATAAATTCTGTTCACATGATGGAGGTCAGGCTCTTTCTGTATCTTTGAATGTTGTGTTAGGTTAATTGCAAGAACATGTGGTGTCTCAGGTTTAAGAAGTCTTTGAAGACAACTAACTACGTACTATTTACTGTAATCGGAGGCTCATTAGTTGTGCTGCAGTTGGATAGGGCAGGCGAATCCAGACAGCACATTTGTGTTATATCGATGCTTTTTCTTTCTGTTACCGTTTCATTGTGACAAGTGATTTTATTTATGCAATCTGTCTGGTGTATTCTGGTTTTTAGTTGCAATATATATAAATGAACGGCGGATGGAGTAATCCTGAACTCGGGAAAACTTTAGTATACCGTCAAAGGCTTTCGGGGATAAAATAGGTATGAGCGGATAGAGGAGATCCTCCATATCAAGAATATATATACATAGGTATAGCCGGGGGAAAATTTCAACTATTTCAAGTCCGCAAATTTTCGATTTCAAATGAATTATACACTTATATATTTCACTTTTATATCCACTAACACTTCACTAATTCGTTTGTACAAATTTATTTTACATTATATAATGGAAAAATAGTTTAATTCAATATTAAAATTATTGTTAAATTCTATTAATTCTGACAATAACAAAAGGGTTGCAAAATGTCAAATAACCAGTGTTACCTTATCGACATCTTCTGTAATTGAACTGAAAGAAATGAAAACAGATAATACCCCAAATACAGGAATCCAAAACCCTGAAAAATAAACTATTAGAGAGCATTGATGTTAAGTATTATGTTATATCCTCTATGACAATTTTACTTTTTCTTGTAGAACTTCTTTTTGCATTGGCGGCCTTCGGCCGCGCTACAAAAAAATAACCCTGGTCGGTCCAACACCGGGGTGTACCAAGGTTTTTTCGCGCAGAAATTATTTGTGCGTTGGTTCTTGTATCTAGGGTATAATCTCTCTGTTTATTTTATTTTTCTTCGTTTGCAAAATATATTAGTATGGCAACACTGGTTTTTGACATTAACAACCCTTTTGTTATTGTCAAAATTAATAAAATTGAAGAATGATTTAAATATTGAAATAAAGCTATTTTTGCAACATATAATATAAAAAGAGTATTTAAAAACGAATTAGTGAAGTGTTAGTGGATATAAAAGTGAAAAATATACGTCATTTTAAATCGAAAAAATACGTATTTAAAATAGTAGATATTTTCAACTTTAAACGTAAATAACTCGAAAATTATAAGTTTCCCGCGGCTATATTCTTGATCTGGAGGACCTCCTCTATCCGGCCATACCCATTTATACCCGAAAGTATGGAACGGTATACTAAAGCCGACCCCTAGACTCTCAAAGAGGGTTATAATTGGTGAAAAAAATTTTGAAGAAACCGTTAAAAGATGGGCAGAAGAAATTGATTCTGAAAGGAGTGATTTAGGTTTAGATGATTCGTTTTTGCATTCCGATTCTAACACCGAATCAGAAATTGATGAAGTAGATGAGGAAATCGAAAATCCAATCAAGGTTTTAACTATTTATATGGTAGAAATCGTTTTAAATGGTAGAAAGATCCTACAGTGCCCGAACATTACAAAATAACATCGTCGTCAAGTGCCATGTCATTAAAAAAAATTTCGCATACTACTGATCCTCAGGAAGTTTGGAAGTACCTCTTTACTATACTATATTTATTGTGGAAAGAATTCAGATGGCTATGACCTCAGTCAGGAGGAAATTAGTTATCACCTATTATATGTCGCGATTTTCAATGAAATATATTATGGAAAAGATCGATGACTAAAAACCGTCCCTGATTTTGCCGGAAAAAATGGTCACCTAAGTCTAGACCAAAAATACAGCATCTATTCTTCTAGCCGCAGAACCTGCCTTCAGTACTTTACCCTTCACAGATTTCTTATTTAAAATTTCATAATTTTGAATTGAAGTTCTTATATTTTGAACTTGTAAAATAAGAGGATATTTTCTTTCGTTTTAATCTTATTTATAATAGCTTTTGTTCGACAATACGAACATTTGTTGAAAAAGGTCATTGAATACATATTACCCTTGAGACTTGTGTGTTTACATAAAATCATTAATTTGACACCTACTATAATTTTCTTGTAAAAAGATGTCTGTTGATAAGGGCTAAATTCATTATTGACAAAGGTGTCAATAATCCTATGCAATATTGCAATATCTCAAACAATTAACTAAATGTACTTTATTTAGTGTTATATCGCAGAAAACGAAATACTTACTTGGTCTTAAGAAATTATTGGAAAATTGTTTATATATTTCGAAAAATTTGGCAGTGTCCCAAAATCTATTCGCTAGGAGTCTTATAACACATCATTGCTATATGTTATTCGTTAAATTTTTCCACATATTTTGTTTAGTACAATTATTCGTTTTTCGGTGGATATCTGCTTAATGCTCTTTGTTTTCACAGTGGTAAATTTATTAATTGAATATATGTACGTACTTCAAGTTTCTTTATATCCTTCTTATACAAGGTGCATTCCAAAGTAAACAGGACTTTTAAAAAAAAGACAGAACAAATGGTTTTATCGGCAAAATCAATTAATTTTATTCAAAATAGTCTCCTTCTGCTTTAATACAGCTTTTGGCACGGTCCAAAAGCATGTCGAACGAGTGTTTTAGCTCGTTGCCCGGTATGGCCGCCAGTATGCCGGTGCAAGCCTTTTGAATGGCCCCCACGTCTGCATAACGCTTTCCTTTCATCGGCAAATGCATTTTTCCGAAAAGGTAGAAATCGCACGGTGCCATATCAGGTGAATACGGGGAGTGGTTGATTGTTAAAATGTGATTTTTGGTCAAATAATCGGCCACAAGCGTCGATCGATGAGACGGCGCATTATCGTGCAACAAACGCCAACTTCCATCTTCGCGAGATTTAGGCCGAACACGTCAAATACGGCGCACCAAACGCTTCAAAACTCCAAGGTAGAATACCGCATTAACTTTTTGGCCGGGTGGAACAAATTTTTTGTGGACAATACCCTTGGATTCATAAAAACAAATCAGCATTGTCTTCACTTTTGACTTCTCCAGGCGCGATTTTTTAGGTTTGGCTCATTTCTCATTTATGTCCCCACGGCCACTTTGAAAACGTTTAAACCACTCGTGCACTCTGCTAGAGGATAGGCAATCATCGCCATAAACTTATTTATCAATTGAAACGTTTCGGAAAAAGTTTTACAAATTTTAAAACTGAAGTTATCGTAATACCATAAGATGTACAATATTTTTTGGTAATCCATGAGAGGTAGAAACAAATAAATTTGATGGTTTTCCTACTCTCGAGAACGGTCTAATTGTTACAGCTAATTACATAAAGTTAACATTTAAGACGTAGGACAGGACAACGTTTGTCGGGCTTCTAGTTATACTCTCGCAACCTGTTGCTACAGAGTATAATAGTTTTGTTCACTTAACGGTTGTTTGTATCACCTAAAACTAATCGAGTTAGATGTAGGGTTATATATATATAAATGATCAAGATGAAGAGACGAGTTGAAATCCAGGTGACTGTCTGTCCGTCCGTCCGTCTGTCCGTCCGTCCGTCCATGCAAGCTCTAACTTGAGTAAAAATTGAGATATCTTTATGAAACTTTGTAGACATGTTTCTTGGTACCGTGAGACGGTTGGTATTGCAGATGGGCGTAATCGGACCACTGCCACGCCCACAAAACGCCATTAATCAAAAACAAATAAATTGCCATAACTAAGCTCCGCAATAAGATACAAGATTGTTATTTGGTACACAGGATCACATTAGGGAGGGGCATCTGCATTTAAAATTTTTTTTAAGTGGGCGTGGTCCCGCCTCTAATAGGTTTGATGTGCATATCTCCTAAACCGCTAACGCTATAATAACAAAATTCACTGGAAGCAAATGTTTTTAGTACTTCTATTGACGGTGTGAAAACAGTTGAAATCGGGTGGCAACTCCGCCCACTCCCTATATAACGGTACTGTTAAAAACTACTAAAAGCGCGAAAAATCAAGCAGTAAACACGCCAGAGACATTAAATTTTATCTCTGGGAGGGTATGAGATTACTTTATAGGAACCGGGTTCAAAATTAGACAGGGGGCGTGGCACCGCCCACTTTTAGGTGAAAACCCATATATTGAGATCTGCTTAACCAATTTCAACCAAATTCGGTGCATAACGTTCTTTTCATGTTTCTATGTCATAGTGCGAAAACGGGGGAAATCGGACTACAACCACGCCTACTTCCCATATAACACCATTTTAAATTCCATCTGATTCTTTCACTTTCCACTGTGCAAATTAAGCAACAATGACTGTATCGGGATAAAACTTTGCGTGAATAATGCGATTAAAGTATGCCACCTTGTTGCCAAAAATTGTCTAAATCGAACCAAAACTGTTTAAGCCGCTAAGTACTAAATATGTGGACCCCAGTGCCTATAGTTGACCTTCTACCGAAAATATCAGTCAATCCACAAAGAAATCTCAAACGAGTATACTATTTGACTTTGCGAGAGTATAAAATGTTCGGTTACATCCGAACTTAGCCCTTCCTTACTTGTTTAATAATATATAAGATTATTTTGATTTTCAAGTGTTACGGCGCTTACTTCCCATATAACACAACTTTTAATAACTCAAGCACCAATTAATATTATATAATATAACGGGATAAAAAAATGTTTAATAAAAAGATGTACGGTAGATGGCTCATCAAATCGATGTTTTGAGTGCTCAAAAATGCAGTTGTTTCAGTCGAGGTGTGAGAGCTCGCATTGTCGGAAGAAGAGTGAACCATCTTCGGCGGTTGGTTTTCCTGATTTCTTGAAAGACAACTGGTAAACAAATGGTTGTGTACTACTAAGAATTAACTGTTCTGCGTTGTTCCAGTGGTATGGTTGTGACATGTCCAAACTGGTAACTATTTGCTTGGAAGTACTTCGTGCGCGAACCACTATTGTTGACTTTTTTTTGAGCAATTGACAAATTGTGTGGGATCCACTATGAACAAATTTTTTTTACAATCAACATTCCTATACTTGCCTCAATCTCACGATAGGTGACATTACGATTATGCAATATCAGTTTACGCACAGCAACAACAGTTTCCGTAACAATAACTGATTTTGGACGACCTTCACAAAATTCGTCATGGAGTGATCTACGATCTCAGTCGAATTCACCATACAATCGATAAACACTGGTCCTTTACAGAGCTTCATCGCCAAAAATTTAATTAGGTTCATCGCTGCATTGTTGCTGAGTTAATCCACGTCAAATGTTTTAAGAAATAATTGCGCGAAATTTTTCGCTATTTAATTCCATTTTTTGGTCGAGATGAATATTTTAAGTTACTCTGAACAACATAATTAGTGCTCGTATGTCAAAACGTTCTAGGTATGTATAACATCAAAAATGTCAAAATTTACGATAAAGTTAAAAGTTGTCAAATTGCAATACTAGGGTTGCCAAATCCCGAAATATAAAAGGAAACCTATGTATGTATATTGGTGATGGTACGTGAAGTACCTTAATAAAACTCAGAGAGGATGTTTTTCTGTTAATAATATGTAGTTATGTCAAAAATAGCTAACATCTTGTCAATACCATACCTATCTCCCATATACTTAATAAAACATTTTCAAACTACCGGTTGGTTCTA